TGAATTCAATGTCTTATTTTGTGTTTTTTTTGGGGGGGGGGCGTCTTGCCGTCATTTGACGCCATTATTCAGCTCCGAACGCCCTGAACTCGAGGGCGTCCAAAAAAATGTATACGTTTTTATCGCTTGAAATGACGAAAGGGAAAAAGGACAAGGACATCCCTCTGTTGGAGGGGCAAAGGAGTCTGGTGGGATTATTTTCGGAGTATTGAAGATCGTTTCCCCGACATCGGCGGTGCCTGCCACAGGACAACACGGAACGTGCGCGATTTGGACGCGATGAGCGGGGGGGGGTGCTAGTGGAGCACGCGCGTGAACTGCGAGCGCCGGAGCCTCGCAGCGGTGAAACTGAGGCTCCGTGGTAAACTGTGGTAACATGACTCACTAAAAAGAGCCGGAATTCCCATTACTAACGTAAAGAGATAGTATCTATAAGGAACCCCCCCCACCCCCGCTCTCGGGGTGGACGCCCTCTCAGCCCTGGTCTGGCGGAAACACTGGTGGACCACATTGTTGAAGCAGCTGCATCCTCTCTATGAAAAGTGTTTAATTATTATAACTAAAGGATGCATTATGTCAGTGGGGGTATTGTGTAACATTTTGTTCTGTTTCAGTTTATATCCCTATCAATATAAAAAGTAAAAGATCATTAAAAGTATTTTGCATCTTGACCAGCCTTACCACCAAAGACACTACTCTGGTTCCTTGTCCAAAAGCAATGCATTGAAAAGCAATGACAAAAAACTCAAAGTGCATTTCTATAAGTCAACTAAACAACCATGCTTGCATCCCAACACGTCTCAAGGCCGATGTGTTCGAACCACGCCGTGTTTCAACGTTGAGCAGCAGCTGAGGAAACCCACCAGCGAACAATACAGCAACGCTAATTAAATCCAGTAATTAATACAGACAGACACTCAGAATACCGCAGTGCTCAGAGGAACCGTGAAATCAATCAGAAGAAAACAAGTTATAAGACAGCAAAACTTTCTGAGGGCACAATTAGAGACGCAGCAGAGAAGCAATAACCAACAAAAGCGAGAAGAAACACAATCGTCTCTGATGAAAGAAACCTCTAATGCTGTAATTACTGTTGTTCAGGGAAGGTCTGTTAAGCACTCATTTTCAGACTCAATTTGATTGAATCTATTATATAATACCGAATATGTGACTCTCGGGATTGGGAAACATTCAAATAAACATTTATATTGTTCACAATTGTGGACAGCCTTTGCGTGAAATCACTTACATATGATAATAGTCCAAATATGTATATCACATTACAATTTAAAGTATTTGAAACTCCTGCACGGAATTACATTTTTCATTCTGTCAGATCTCATTCTGTTTTACATGGATATTTTCCACCGTTTTTAGCGCACCATTATGTCACCTGCGCTATTTACTTGCTCCTATATGTTTCTGTTTATGTCTTAATTATACAGTATGTTGTTACATTGTTAGAGGAGCTTTGGACCTAAGATTTGTTTTGCTATGCCTATGACAATAAAGCCTTTAGGATATTGAATCTTGAAAATGCACTATGACTAATGGCCAATCAAATCCCCTGGCTGTAGCTACCCGGCGTTTAAAGGTGGGGTAGGTCATTTTGGAGAAACCAGCTCGAGTGCGCTAGAATTTGAAAATACACAGCCGGAACAAATCAAATCAAATCAAATCAAATCAAATCAAATCAAGTTTTATTTATATAAATCTGCCACTTCCTTACAGAGCCCCTCCTCCAACACACACGAACGCGCACATGACCAATGAGGGCACGAGATAAGTTTGTGCACAGATGGAAGGCTGACAGGCAGGTAGGCCATCCAGTTATTTTAGCCGGGCCGGCTCAAATGATTGGTCGTGCTTTTTACAGTATTACGGCTTCCACAGATTACATTCTTTTATGGATTTTTTGTCAAAGCACTTAAGATATTCATTGCTATCGGGATGTTAAGAGCATTCCATGGAATATAACAAAAAGTGTATCTCGAGCCGGTTTCTCAAACTTACCTACCCCACCTTTAATGTAAGCCACTTACTATACACTATCTAGAAGAATAAACAAAGACACCTAAACAACAAAAAACTCGAGACATATTTGCTAAAAGCTTTTTCAAACCTTTAAGAAATCATTTTGTTTATGCTCCTTGAACATCTAAATAAGCAAAATTGAGTAAGAGAAACAAAATGCTGCTTCTGGTGGCTCAAAAGCCAGAGCAATATACTGTACACTGGCGGGAAACTCAACTCGCAAAAGAGGAAACATAAAAGACAGCCAAAAATATTCCTATTTTCAGATTCATATCAGTATGTAGTGTCTCTACTGTGACATGTCTCCATGCTTTAATGTTCAAAAAGCTCTTTATTTTTCTCATACTGCCTGTGCTGCAGCACCTCTTTTCACCCTCTGTCTGAAACCAGAGCCCAGTCTGCTCTGATTGGTTAGCTGGCCGGCTCTGTTGTGATTGGTCAACCGCTTAGAGATGTCCCGCCCCTTAGCCTATCACGTACAATGTGTTGGAGCGCAAGCCAACAGAAGCAGAGTGTTACATAGTGATGTCATTATGTTCTGGATGTAAACAAAGGAGTCCAATTGAGGCTTATCAAAAGCATAAAAGGGACCCTTTAAAAAATATATGCGATATTGATCACTGTGTTGTCCACACAGATGAAAACATTCTGTCAAATTGCCTTACTTAGCATATGGGTACTTGAGTTATTAGGTCAGTGACCTTAGATCAGCAAAGTGATCATTTGTACCAATTTGAGGGAAATCCCTCTAGAATGTCAGGAGAGAAACATTCATTATAATGGGACGGATAGACAGCCCAGACACCTTTTCTTTAATCAAACCTTGGGTATCAAATAAAGTAAATAAACTGAATTTGCTTACAGGAAATGGTTGTTCTTTGATATATAAATACTACATATGTTAAATACTGGCAACTATGAGTTAAACAGTTTCACAAAAATACTGCCAAACCCTATCAGCTGAAACCGAATGTAAAAACCTTCAGAAGACACAGCACGGAAAGAGAGCATGCGGAGAGAGGAAGATTCCTGTGCAAGGCATGTGGACATGAAACAGGGAGAAAAAGAAGTAGGTGACCGGAATGGAAAAGAGGAAGAATTGGGAAGAAAGAGTGATAGAGCAGCATGAGGGCAGAGATCAAGGTAAGAGAAAGATAGTGGGAAGGAAAATAAATGGAGACGTGTGTGTTTGGAGGATGAAGGAGGAGGAAAGAAGCTGACAACTGGAAGAGAAGGAAGAAGAAGACTGAGAGTTAGATTCAGAAACAGCAGGGGGGGGAATGGAGCCAATCAGATGTTTGGTGAGGGCAGATGTAGATGTTTCTTTCATGGAGCAAGATCATATGAGTGACTTAATATAATGTCTTTATATCCACTCCTAGTTTCTAACATATCCCCTCTTAGTTTCTCTGTCTGACTGTAGAGGCACAATCTCTCTCTCTTACAGCCGGCTGTTGTAGCAGGAAGATCGAACACCTTTTGCATAATCATGTTGCTTCGTTAATATTTAACTTGGGCAATTTACTTTATTTTTAAGTAGCTTAAAGTGGTCTTATTTTATAGTATTAGACAGTATTACTATCGCTATACAGTGAAGATATACAGTGTTTTTCTTTGACATGTACATTTTCTACTCAGTCTGACAGCATGCATTTTGGGAGGTCCTCTTTAATTAATGAAAACAAATGTGAGTAATTAGCAAAGTAATGTAGTACCTGATGGGTTTTAAGACAATACAGGTGTGTGTAAGGAAAGATAAGAAAATACAGAAGCAGAAGAAAAAAAAGTCAGGTAGAGAGAAGCGAGTGAAGATTGGGAATATTATTGTGCAGAATTGACATCAGCCAAAGCAGGAGAGCCAAAACAGGCAAAAATGTGCTGAATGAAGAATCGAAAAAGAGCACAAGAAACAGCATGACAAGAGATTGTTGTGTCATTAAGGAGGAGAGTCAAACAGGGAAGGTATACAATACTTTTCCGCCATCTGTTAGAATGACATACATGTTATAATCACTGCCTTCTCTCCTGTCCTGTTTCTCTCCTCTTAGATTTCCCTCCTTTTCTCTCCTCTTTCAGAATTGAAGTATAACAGCAACGCCCCAACTCACACTCACACACTCACACAGCTGCAAACTGACACATTTTGATGGCAAACATTCATTCAAATGTACTTATGAGGAGGATAATTGGTATTTCCACATGCCATACACCACAGAATCCAAACAGCAACCTCTCGGTCTCAAAACCAAGCCTCCAACCTGCACCTTTCCTTCTGACAACCTTCACTGGGTGTGTGAGCAAAACACCGTGGCTCAGTCCCAGGTTTCCCATCATGCTGCACTGAGCACCAAATTAACCAGAAAGACAACCTTGTTTTGGGCACACAGTGGATAAAACAAGAACTGGCTTCTAATTGTGTCATTTCAGCCCATAGAGGATAAACACACACAGCTGAGACCTTCTAAATGCCAATGTGAATCACAAGCCTTCTGTGTCCTAAAATGCAAAGCTTTCCAGCAGGAATCAGGTGTTTAAAATAGTAAAATAAACTTAACAAGGAAACGACATTGAATAAAAGTAAAACAAAATACTCAGTCGACACTTCTACTTTAACGTTTCTGAAAGAATAACGATCTTGTTCGTTGTTAAAACAGATCCGGTTCTAACAAATGCGCATAAATTGAATGAATCATTATTCACATCAAACCGTATTTCTCCTCAACAACTCACGCGCAGTAACCCCCCCTTGAAAAACAGAAAAACTCTGCACTTTTTCCCAGACTGATAGACCGGGTAAATGAGACTTAATGAAATATAATTGCATTCAAAACATAGAAGCATTATATTTCTTCAAGGCGGTATGACAGAGACATGAAGCCCCAGTTCAGAGCCTCCCCTCCGGGTCCGCGCTGCCCGGACTCGCTCCCTCTCCCCCGGGGAAAGTAGAAGGCGCGCAGCCTGCTCACCTGCTCCGTTTGTCCCGGACGAGCTGCAGAGGAGCAGGGCGACCTGAGCGATAATCCCAGCGACTCTTTTAGTCCCAAAATCCATGATGAGGCGACTGGAGGCTGCAGAAAAACTGCTGGAGGAGAGAGACGGCCAACCTCTCCTCTACAGCTCCAAGAGAGATCTCCCAAAACCCGACTGAAGGACGAGGGAGAGGAGGGAGGAAGAGAGAGAGAGAAAGGTGGTTTTACTATGTGTTCACAGCTCCAACTTCACTGCACCTCCTCCTCCCCTTGTTGAATAAAAGCAGTTTCCAAGAAAACCCTCCGCAATGCCAATTCTCCAGTTCTCCATCTTCCACTGCGTGTGCTGCTGACAAATAAGGAGCAATTGGTCACCATTTAACCAGCCTAAAGGGCGATAAATCCCGCCAGACAGGCTTCTGGCGCCAACACAATTAAGTTAGCTAGCACACTGTTTTTCAACCTTTTGAGCCATGGTAAACGTTTTACATAAAACAAATCTCGAGGCATACCAACAACCAACAAAGTTACTAAATGACACATTGAAGCCTAATACTGCATTTATATATTATATACATAAAATATATTTATAGATCAATTAATGACAAGTCTCTCAATTGGGCTGTGGGTTGAGCTCCAAAGTAGCTAGCTTTGAGAGCTCTATTTCCTTGTTTCTTAGTTTGTTTGCACATGCAAACAAATAAGTCCCTGTCCTTGTTTTGAGAGTGTTTCTTGAGATTACATTCAAGATTGATTGGCAACTAATATATTTTTTTGTACCGTTTAAGTCACTGAGCTAGCCAACACCAATTCACACCTTGCCTACTTATAACTTAACTTATACTTTTTATTATCTGTGTATTTAATTTACCTTTAACCAAAGAGCTGAAAAAATAGTTTTAGGCTTATTGTAGGATGACTACCCACTAACAAACACGAGGACTGGATACATACATTACGTTTGAACATAAAGTCCTCCCTACATAATATGAATTACTAAATTTTAGCTAGTTTAACTTTAATTATATAGCGCTAGGTAGGCTAATATATCGGCTAGCTTAGCTAATGCTAGTGACTTTGGCAATGTGAAAATCGATTGAATGTCTTTCTATTCTGTCCAATCAAAGGCAATCAACTCTGTAAACAGGAGGTGACTTTAACATCACTCAGAAACATTACGGTTTCAGAGGCAAAAAAACAGTGGTTGTTCAATTGAATCCAGGAAGTCACCGCACTAGGCCAAAAAATAGCTAAGCCTAGATAAGAAAAGCCAAGAGGCTCCTGGCAGCATAGCTTCATAGTTAGACTCTAAAAACAAATAGGCTGCATCAACTTACTCAGCCTCGCTGTGAAACAAAACAAGTATATTTTTTAAATGCCAAACTACACCATGAGCAGACTGCAGACCCCAGTCTCACGGCATTTCGTGTTATTAGTCACGAAATTAATTTAATCTATTGATTCGTGTCACACAGAACGATTTTAAATGCAATGTATTTCTATTGGTAGTATGTTTCGTGCCTGCAACACGTCTTTTTGTCCGGTCGGGTCTTGGAAGACCAGAAGCTGTGTGGTTCATAAAAACATGTTCTTACTCAATATCTTACCCTAAGCCTAACCCTATCCCTTTTATTTGAAATGGTATAATGTCTGAGTTTTTTTGCCGTCAGTGAGGAAAAGAAATGGCTCAGAGCCTCAGAATACTGAAATCTGTATTTTATGTCATCTTTTTTTTCCTTCTAATTTGTTATTATTTGGTGCAGGCACGAAACATACTACCAATATAAATACATTGCTTCTAAAATCGTTCTGTGTCAGAATACTTAAATCTGTATTTTTTTAAATGTCTTTTTCCTTCTAATTTGTTATTATTTACATTGCTTTTAAAATCGTTCTGTGTGACACGAAAAAAATGGCGAAATCGTGTTGGTGAACACGAATCAATAGATTCATTTCGTGACTATAACACGAAATGCCGTGAGACTGTGTTGGCAGGCCACATTATGATGCGCCTTGTTGTTGAACATAACATTTGTCCATGTTCTAGAACTAATGATGGTATCCAGTTTGAATCTAAACACAAATAATGCACTCAACAAGCAACATGGCTGCTGGCAGGTATTTCCCCTCAATTCATGACAAAACAGCAGACAACAAGAGCATCTGGACCTATTTGGATCTGAAAACAGAACAGCTGAACTCTCTGCCCATCAGCTCCACTAAAGCATTTTTTAATAAGGGTTGCAAAGATGGCACTGATAAAAAACACTCAACAACTCTGCAGGAGGACGCAAAAGCAGACTGGTGGGGCTCTCTGGCGGTGTCTGATTACCGACCTCTGGACATCTTCAGCTCGTCAGCAGTGGATCCTGGTTCAACCTCATGGAGCGAGGAAGATGACATGTGTGAGATCAACATCGGGCTGAAAGAAATCGAGTTACGCGACATGGTGGAAGAACCTCTTTGCATCCCGGAGAGTAAGTAGACAATGATAATAATTACCTGTGTTGCTATTAGACAGAATTAAAAGCCCTAGGGCCAGGGGAATCAATAGAGTTAACCGTTTTGTACGTGGGTCATCATCAGTATAATCATAATTCAGTCATGATCAATGGAATTAGAAAGCTTTACAATCTTTTCGGCTAATTAAAGAGTGCTTTTCCAGGACGATGCATACAAGACAATAGATTTGAAAATAAGTAATGCTGTTGCTCAATACAGTATTTTTGAGCAATGTACACACATCACCTTTTCATTTGTGTTTTACTTATGTTGCATTAAGGGTTGTTTAATGACAGTATATTAACCTTGTCTTTCTTTCTCTCTAACAGCTACACATCAGAGGATCGTTGGTTGCAGAACAGCGGAGACCAAGAGTAAAAAGCCTGTGGGAAAGACAGGAAGACATTTTTAAGACATTGTGTTCACTTCTTGTTTAAATTTGAATGAATAAATAATTGAAAACAGTATTTTATTCATCATTGAAATGTGGAATTAGTGATACAAACATGCTCAACATATATGTTGATTTTATCATTTTAGGCTTTTGTGCTTTGTAAAGACCTGGAACTGAACACACAGTTACATGTATTTTAGATTTTCAGTAAACATGAATAATGAAATGCTTTAATCAAACCAAAATAAAAAGAGGCATATTTTGTCATATTTTATCTCTGGGATGCACAGTTCCAATCCTCCACACTGGTGCCATCATCCTTAGTTATTTTTGGGCGATTATAACAATAACATACTAAACTCATCACATGGAAGGAACAATAACCCAAAACAAAATAGCCATTTACCTCAAGAGGAACATGTTGGAGAAAATTATACTCTTGTGGAAATCCATGTTAAACTGAGAAGATGGTTTCGGGGAACATTTTGAGTCAAGGCTTCTGCAATACTCATCTGGCATCCAGCATAAAAAACAGATAATTATAATTCTGTTAAAAAAATTATAATTGACATTTGTTTATATTTAAAACTGAGATACATAGCAATTACTGCTATCAGAAGAAAAAAATAGTTTTATTGTTAAAGCAGTTATTTTTCAAAATACCTCTGGGCATTTATTTATTATGTAAATTATGAATTAATAATAAAATAGGAATTGTACTGTGTCTAATTGATTCACTGCTCTGAGCGAATTATATAGTCTCCTTCAGTATGTGCAGTGGAGGATTAAGTATTCTGCTTTCTTTGCTTTCATTTAGACCGTACGAACGGGTCAGTCTTTTGGTTTCCAACAATCGTACCATATCCCTCAGTCAAATACTTTCTAAAACGGAAATAACATGTCCTTGTTCATTGGAGCACAATCCAAATAGAGTTGAAACAGTGGACATTAGTTCAAAAAAGTCAGAGATATTTAAGGAAATGTTTTTATGTTTGACCAGGGAAAGAAATAGCAAAAACTCTACTTGTTGGGGAATAATTTGCTTAGGTATTCAGCCTTCGACACAGTTCATAATTTTCTCCTCTCACTGTCACCTTTCTCGTGGCATAGTTCTACGGCCTTGGGTTTTGCTGCTATCTCTCTTAAGGAGGAGCAGCTTCGGCGCATTGTTGTTGCCAGTCTATGACAGAGCACAAGCCGCCATGAGGTAGTTTACTGTTCAGGGACGAAGGTTCCCTGGCGCACATTCTTTCCTATGGACGAGAGCTCTAGTTAGATTCAGGGTCCATATTGCTTTAGTCTCACTGATAAAGAATGTTGATTATTACACTCCGAACTAACCTCGAGCTACAGAAAGAGTTCTTCAGAATTGGTTTGGCAACCGCTGTGTCAACTCGTGACACACCACCTGTCTTGTCAATTCTCCGGCCGTAACTCCAAATAAACCGTCAGTGTTTGCCATCAAAGCTCCAGCTCTCCTCGTGTCTCTCTGAGTCCTGTTTCCAATTGCTTCAGAAGTTTCCCCCACACATACTTACATGTGATTTCAACAGCCAATAAACAGATTAGACATCAGATCTTTGTTGAGCGATTATTAAACTCTAACTTTCCTCATATTAAACACGTAACAAAGTAAATATAGGGTTTCCCGATATGTTAGTTACCAAGCTACTGTCGAAATGTATGCACTAGTAAAGCTGGCAGCTTTTCCCCTCTTAAGTTGATTTTGGACAGTGCTTTGTCAACTTTTTGAAATGGAAATATTAGCAAATCTTTCAGGAAAAACCACGTCTTCTGTCATTTCTATAAAAACTCTATGATAAGGGCTCACCTTAAAACCTGTAACACTTTAAATGAACGTTCTCAAAAACTCTAAATGTAGCATCATTTTAGTTTTGCTGGTCTCATGTCAGGCAATTGTTTTCGTTTGTATGAAAGATCTAATTAAATAAAAGAAAATCAAATGTGATGGAGTACGGTATTGTTACTTTAAACCATTTCTTAGTAAAGTTACGTTGATATAAAATTACATAAACAGTGATAGAAGATTAATGCCATTTTGCACACCCCTACATTTTTGGTTGTTCATCTTGCTACCCCCTTTTTCTTCCGTTTGATTGAACCAACTCTAAATGTATTTCTTCTTATTTTCTGGAAATTCTGTGTGTTTGAATTCAAACATGGCTTTTGGCTTATTACAAGTCCAGAGTGAATGTGGTTATAATTACAACAGGTGGGCGAAAGCAACAAAGAATCGATAGAAAGCAGGAGTCTCAGACCAATTTG